GAAATATCCAACTATGCTTATACTGTGACTTTTCCATCTGGGAAATATTCTGAAGAATCAAAATGGGCAAAATTTTCTCACAGCCAAAATATAAGGTTGTTCTTTGAACAAATGTCGAATTAACAGTTAAAGCCCCAAATTATGGAAGTATAATGAAATAGTAATTAATCAGTACCGAATCAAGCATATACTGTTAAAACCAAAATCATTGTCCTGCTTCATTTGAATTGATTATATGAGGCCAATCGAAAAATCAGTTTGGATTACTGATCACTGATGATTCGTTGTTGATCCTACAATGATGCACTGATGAGAGAAGAATACCAAAACGAGTCTGAGGTCGGATCAGCAGCGAAAACTGGTTCGCCATGAGGCGATGAAAATGTCATGGTTTCGATTCACCTGAAACTGACTTACTGAAATATTTGGCTCGGAACGACCTGTTAGAGATACTCTAGTAGATTTTTACTGAGAGATAGTGTGCGAATACACCAAAAGAGGGCTGACAAACATACTCGACTAAAAACTACAAAATTTGTAGGCACGTTGACTGTCCCCATAAGAACTTTTTTACTTGCTCGTGCGCTCACATGTTTTTTTTTTTTTTTTCAAGTAATCGATTGCTTACTTTGGTAAACAACTGTTTTGACATAACAGAATATAATATTTTTGTGTTTTGTAATTTTTTTGACATGTTCATATATGACTCATTTACGTCTGAAACTATCTACCGGTTCTCGACGCTCATAAATCACATACGATCATTGTTTCCCGCCCGTTTTTACATGATTTTACATGCGCCAGTGCCCTTCTACTGAGAGTTTGTTGCCGATAGTGATGCGACCTCGATACGAAACATCGATGTTGGCCATCGATGTTAACATCGATGGTATAAAAATGTCGACTACCCAAACATCGATGTTTATCAAATATCGATGCTCAATGTTGGCACCCAAACATCGATGTTTATCAAATATCGATGCTCAATGTTGGCAATAATCTATTTAATCCGTTGTAATATATTTTTTTTTTTAATAAAACAACATTTTTAAAGTAGAAAGTCCATATTTTTCATTGTCACAAAAAAGAAAATATTGGAGCGCTCCATGAATCAGTATGTGGTGCATTATAATTTTCAAGCCTTTAGACAGGCGTCCACCTAATATTAACATCCTGGCTTGCGGCGTCCTTGAGTTGGGTGGGTATAACTACGGTTAAGCAAATGATTCAAATGTATCTCATGGACGTCACAGAGATGGCGCGCATGCGTCACTTATGATGCATGGGACAGTCAACGTGTTAGGGGGATTTTGGATCAGTTAAAATGTTCGTTAACTTTAATCACATTCAAGATAAAGAAAAGTGAATAAGAACGAGTTTTTGAAATGCCTATTGATTATTGCATAATGACATTTGTGGTTATTTATCCTGTGGTATAACACATATAAGTAAAAAATTATATAACGCGTGTACTCTATTTACGCAATGAGAGGCGATTGAATTGATGCAAAAATGAGTGAGATGGAAATATCATTTCTGCATAAGTCTATCTTGTAGTTCAAACCAGGCTGAGCGATAGACTTATGCGAAGTTGATATATCTGTCTCACACATTTTTGCATCAGGGTACAGCAAGAACACGCGTTATATAATTTTTTACTTATATGGTATAACATAAACAAATCAAAATATTTGAGGTTAGAAAGTGACGATGTCATTGCTTTTCCTTGCAAGTCGAAAATTGCGTGTTTCCCAATCAACCAATATCAACTTTAGGGAAAAAATCTCCCAAGTTATTCGTCGTTATCGTTACCAACTCTGCGCCTCCACTTGCAAAGAAGTGCGCATGCTCAAAAGAGGAATAACCATAAACATCTTTATTAAAGACGTTTTTAACTGGTCCAAATATCCCTATTTTTGCAAAAATTGAAAAATCAATTGTCTGTGGTTCCAGACTGGTACCGCTTCCTTCGTGCATTAGGTACGCTAATTTATTATTATCTCTGGTATTATACCAAACATCACCACCACAAATCATCTTATTTGTCGCAGAGAAGTCAGAGTGTTATCTCTCGGGATACCGTTTCCGGTAGCTTGAGTGTTAGCGCTGGCATTCCGCAAGGGTTTGTTTTGGACTTGGGGCCATTGTTGTTTTTACTGTATGTTAATGATCTTCCTGCAATTGTAGAAAGTAGTCTGTGCACTTCCTTTGCTGATGATACCACAATAGTTTATTGGCATCATAAAGACACTGTCATGCTGACTGCTATGGTGAACGATGACTTAGCAAGAATCAAAATGTGGTGTGATTCCAATATCGGCTGTCATTTGATATTGAAAAGACATCTATCATGAAGTTTTTTTTGTGTAATCTTGGTAATGTTTTTCTAGATAATACTATTATAAGGCAGAAGCATGGAGACCAAATATCTTGGCCTGATTGTTGATGATCAGCTCAGGTCTGACAAACACACTGAGCATTTATGTAAAAAAATATCATCAACATGCTTTGCTGTTAGAACTGTCAAGGCTGAGCTGGGTGAATCGGTTGCTAGATGAGTGTATTTTTCTTTTATCGAGTCACATCTTATTTATGGCATTAGCTTCTGAGGTTGTTGTTCATTAACATTGTTCAACATCATATTTGTTCTCCAGAAGCGTGCTATATAAGGTCAGTATGTGGCCTCAGGCCAAGGAACTCTTGCAGACCATTCTTTATAGGCAGACGTATTTCAACCTTGCCTTGTATCTTAATTTTAGAATCTGTGTGTCTCATGCAGAAGAAGTACTCTTCTAATATTCATGCTCCCTCCTTAGTCAATACCAGAAGTTCACATGTACCTAATTGATATATCAATTCCCACATCCTCGCTTACTCAAAAATCTATCCACTATAAGAGTAAAAAAATGTTTAATCACCTACCTCATGCCAGCAAACCAAGTGACCACATGATGGTCAGATTGGACTTAGAGATCCCCTTCGCAGTGGTAATAAACGACCGCCAATCATGGGAGAATAAAGAACTACCACAAGCAGACAATGCATCTCTGTGGTACACAGATGGATCCAAGCTGATGGAAGGAGCTGGACTGGGCATTTCCGGCCCTAACTTCAAGCTCTCCAAGGCATTGGGTAAACATCTTACAATATTTCAAGCCGAACTGCTTGCCATAGATATATGTGCACAAGAGTGTCTTAACCAAAGAATCAAAAGAAAACACATCTTCATACTATCGGACAGCCAAGCTGCCTTAAAAGCCTTAAGGGCTTTCAAATGCACGTCTAAACTAGTCTGGGAGTGTAAACAGACCCTAAAAACACTAGCGACACATAACCAGGTAACGCTGATGTGGCTGCCTGGTCATCGAGGCATAGAAGGAAACGAAGAAGCAGATGGCCTCGCAAAGGAAGGGGCCTCAACACCATACCACGGACCAGAGCCCTACTGTGGCTTAATGAAAAGCCACATCATGGAAGAACTCAACAAATCGGAGAAAGACCAGCTGTCATCATATTGGAGGCACACACCGGGACTCAGACAGTCAAAAAGGTTTATTACCCTTTCAGCAAAAAGAGCTGATCAGCTCCTAAACATGAGCAGACCAGACATCAGATTGGTGGTGGGACTGCTCACAGGACACTGCCCAGTAAAATACCATTTAAGGTTAATGGGCAGAGCGGAAGACGATCTCTGCAGATTCTGCTCAGACGCAATAGAAACCGCAGAGCAGCTGCTCTGCGAATGTCCAGCCCAATTCTGCAAGAGGCTCAAATTCCTCGAGGGGGCAACACTGTCACCAGAAGAAGTGGGCCAACTGACACCCAGGAAAATAGCTTCCTTCGGCAGAAGTCTACGCTTCCTGGAGACAAATTAAGATGTAGAGTCACGCACAAAATATCTGCAAAGGTAGCAGTGCTGAGCGGCTGAAAAGCCGAAACGACTCCCCCGAAATCTACAATCTACAATCTCTACCTCATAACATAAGAATAATAAAGGAGAGTAGATATTTCAAGAAACAAGTAAAAAAATTACTTTTGGCTAAGGCTTTTTACTCTGTAGAGGAATACTCCTCATCTCCTCTGTCTAATGGGTGCTAATGGTTAATAATTTTAAGTTTGTTTTTAATTTGAATTTTGAGCAGTCTTTCGATCTTGCTTTCTGGCTTTTAGCCTTTCCCTTACCATTGCTCGACTAGTGCAATATGTATAAATTTTATCTAGTTGTTTTTATTCTTGTTCTATTCTCTTTATTTTTATGTACCTACTTTATTGATGATTTAAATTTTAATTATATTGTATTGGAAGCTTTCTTATCAAGATTTGATATCTTTAAACAATTAAGCATATTTTGATTTGATTTGATTTGATCAACATGTCCGAATCAATTCCGTCAAAAACAACCCGACGACAGGGGGACTATTATTGTACGTTTTAATACTAGACGCTTCAAAAATGTTTCCCTTTTTCTTTTCAAGTATAAATAAATGATTAGTAATGATAACTACTGATTGCTAATAAACAAGAATTAGAAAACAATGTTGCTAATTTTTTGCTGTCCCTCTTCAATCACCGTTGTCGACCGCGAAAAGAAAAAAACTGCCTGGTAAATTTTAATTTGTTCGAAATTGGGAATTCGGCCGAGCTTTATATTCGTTTTGAGCGATCTTTTGCATCTGTGAACTACGTGTTTGTAAAACTAAAACAGAAACCGATTAAAAGATTTCATGCATCATGCAAAAACTTGAAACTGAAAAACACAAAAAAACAAAAAACTACAAACTGAAAAGAAAAAAAAACTCAAAAGAAGAAAATGCTCCACTGATCCAGTATTGGCAAAAGCAGTATAGAGTGAATATTATGTTTCAGATTTGTACTTTTATCATCTGCTGTTTGCGATATGGAGCAGCGGTAGCGATTGCGCGCCAAAAAAATTACAAACAAGAGCGAGTAGCGCATACGAAATACACAGCGACAGAATAGATGTAGAAAAAGCAGCTTACAGCTTGGTCAGTTGAGCTCTTGCTGTATGGAACCGGAATCAAACGTTCTTGTAATTCACCACCTATCACCTTCAAGAAGTAACAAAGGGCAACATTAAAGAAAGATCCCACACACAGTGAAGACACAAAACAATGAAGATAGTGCATAGAATAATAGACTCTACTAGTAAAAAACCTGGGAGAAGTTTGTAAAAAAACAGCGCATTTTTATATATACAGGTATGATAGTTTTGGTTAAGCCTACATAGTTTGTCCTGAAAATTTTCTAATTCATAAAACCTTATTTCTGATAATTCCAAAGTTTAATTTTCTGCTTATTATTAATAATTTTCCAAGTAGAAAATTCCTGTTAAAGTATAATACATGTAATAATAAAATAAGCAACATAACATAAGTACTTGGACATAAAAAGGTAGGTATATTTAACAGGTTAAGGCTGATATAAAGCTTCGTACAGACCTGAACATTACGCCGAACAACAAAAACGAACGACGATTGAAACGCTAGTTTGGACGGGGCTACGAACGGCCAGGATTTGCGAACCTGTTTGCAAACGCGTTTGTAGCCCCATCCACATTAATGCTCGTTCGTTGTTCGGTTCGTTGTTCTGTGTGTTGTTCGGCGTAACGTTCAGGGGTCGTATTTTCGAATTTATTCGAGTACATTCGTACACGAAATTTGACTAACAGCAATGTAAATTAAATCGGGAGCATTCGAAATCGTATCAAATTTCGTATGCGAGAATATTCGAAAATACGACCCCAGGTCTGTACGAAGCTTTAGGATATTACTATTTTCGAGACAAAATGCACCTTACCAAACCAAACGATCTTATTTCTTTACAACCCCGCACCAATCGCGAAAATAATTATCAAACAAATAGTGTTACTTGAAACCTGCATAATAAAATATAAAATTATGCTAAAATATTAACAAATTTTTTATTTTTTTGATTATATCATGACGATTTTAGAGTTGTAACAAATTATTTTGGCATAAAATAAAATTGGGAAACATGCAAGTAAGAACACAGATATTTAATATTTACACAATGATACCTTCCTATTGTATAACCAGATGTCACATTTAATGCAACAAATAACTACGGACCATTTTTATACATTATTATTATTTGATTCAAAAACCAATACTTAAACGATGGTCCCAAAAATACAAACATAAGAACTAAAAAATTGTTGCTATAAAAACAAAGCTAAATTAAAACAAAATGGAAGTTCATAGGGTTGAGGTTATAAAGAAATAAAACCAAATGAAGAAAACTTCATCCTGTATATTGATTTAATTAAAATAAAATAAAAAATTAACAAGAAAAGTGAAAAGCCCAGTAGTCGCTGAATTTTTTTTGCAATCTTAAGAAAATGTGGAACTACTCAATAATATAGGTAAGTAGATGTGATCTATAAAAAATGTGTTTCAAAGAGTATAGACACACGATAGCTCCAACATGTGCTTGGGCTCAGTGCCGAATATTAAGAACAGAGCATTTTTTTTAATATGTGTTTCATAATAATCTAATTAATAAGTATAGTAAGTAAATATGCACAATTATAAAACTTCTTCTATAGATGAGCCAGTCACAGGATTAAAAAATTAAAACAATTCTAAAAAATCACATCATTTTACGTTTAGGGGAAAAGGAGGGAGTGCAAAAAGCATAAATATGCTTTTAAAGTAAATAAATATCATGTTAGGCAAAAATACATTGCTGGCCCAATGAATTACGCATAACAATCTAAATATTCAATAATGGAACGTTGTTTTTGGATTGAGAATGGTGTTTAATTCAAAAATTAAATATGATATTTTTATCATGTACAAAATATCTGTGTTGGTAAGTAATTTTCATATTTATGTTAATATTTTATTGCCTGCAGGATCAGGATTGTCCTGTAAAATCTATGAAAATTGTTTCCATTGTTGATAAAATATTATGAAACCTAAGGCATAAAAATATCCAAGGTTTAGTACAAAAACTGACTCGAAACCGTTCAGAAAAGGCATTAGCCTTGAACTATAATATAGATGCAGCCCCCTCAATAAAGGCCAGAACAGTCATATTCTCCAGGAACTGCCAAATATCAACAGATTTCATGGTTAACTCAATTTTCCTCTTTTCAATGAATTTTAAACAGGCAATTTTGTTGCTTTATAAAATCTATGAGTATTATATTTTTATTAAGGCTATACGAACCAATATCGCTAGAAATTTTAAAAGGCAATTTCACACTTGTAATGACACCGACACTCAGAACTCTAAATATTATAAAAATATACATTCTGTCCCAATTTGGATCCTCACTATTGGAATTTTGGTTGTTGAGATAATCTGAATGGAAACTTTGGTGCCGGGTATGCTCATAAGTTGCTGAATCAAATTATACCAGCCTTAAGAACTGTATATTCGGAAAACAAATTCAGAGAAATAATCTTCTGTGTCGTATTAGTAGGTGTGAAAACGCCCAAATACAAAATTAAGAAATCATTATCAGTGTTTTCCTATAAAGTGCATCATGAATATTCGAGTAACTTTCCACGGGAAATACTTTTAAATCTTTTATATGAGAGCCTGCACTAGTTTTATTGCTGTCTATTAAATCTCAAAAGAAAAACTAATTATGTAGCCAGTGAAGATCTTTATTTGCAGTAAACTAACACTAAAATATAGTATGTGTAAATTATGTATATGTACTAATATAAATTGAAAAGTCATGATTTTATATCTTTCAAAAATCCAAAAACAACATTGGTGTATGTATAACAAATAAAGTCGTATCAAAGGGCAAGCCTTTGATGAGAAGAAAAATAAAATTAAAGGTAAAATGTATGTACGATTAAGATCCTTATAAATTTAATAACTATAATATTGAGAGATTAAGTAAATGTAGCCTGCTGACCCACACAGCTGTGCGCAGCACATAATAGATATAATTAATTACTCTTTTGGCAATAATTAGCAAAGTATTATAATCCCACAAATTGTAATAATTTCAAAGATTGAGGTATACTTGACATTTTTAACGCGATTATATTATATGCATGTTGTTGGCCGTATTTTTTTTCCTTTTTTTATTAACATTACTGCGGACTGGCATGCGTTAAACAACTTTAAAAATAGAATATCATTTTATTTCCATTACCACTAACCTGAGAGTAATAACTCTAAAATGCTATACATACAGCTAGTTCTACATAAAAGACGAAATAATTATATGTACAAAATAATACAATGTAGTAATGGTTTCGGTCAAAGATAATGGTCTACTTTGCTAAGCTAATAACATGGTCTAGTTCAAATACCGGAATAGTACCCAAACATGTTTAACATTACGATTTTTTATCATCCTCAAAAGAGTTCAGTAGGACAGTATCAGTTTATCCTTAAACCAATCCTTGTTTGTATAAATTAAATTACTCCATTTTAATTTTTATAAATAAAAAGTAACTCTCTATAAAAAGAAATATATAATAAATAAACATAATCCCAAAAAAGCAAAAATCTTGAATACGAAACGAATGCACAACCAATTTGTGACTTATAACTTAAAAACAATGACACCAAGACGAATAACGCAAGCAACAAAAATCGTATTATTAAAACCTGATTGGGGCCAAGTATGGTATATTGACTATGGTGGAGAGGGAAAAAATCGGTGAACGAGGTTTTTTCAAATTAGGAATAATTGGAAGGGACAAGGATTTGCTAACAACAAAAACACACTAGTCCATTATTAGCTTGAGATGGCCCAGACCACAACGCAGGAAGCCTAAACGAGGGGTGCACACATTTATGTTTATTTCAATTTTTTTTTTTTGCGGCATTGCTTCTTGTTAAGAGTACACAATTGCACCGCTTACCGGAATTACTTGACCCATTCGAATATATTTTAAATGTTTAAAAATTGGTTATATTGGCTTGGGTTAAGTAAATCATTCACTGGCAGTGAAAGCTGGTAAAAATGAATAGGATGCAGAAGTTTTGGCCATAGTGTACCAATTATGTCAAAATAAGATAAGTTGCTCACTGTAAGTAAAGGCTAGCATGTGTCGTATTAAAATTTTGTAAAAACACACAATTTTATAAAATAAAAATTATTCCTGTTGACCTGCTTGATTGTCAAAGATATTTTATTTGATTTTTTTCAAAATGAGCTAGTATAAAGATATGTACGAAGAGGTGACAGGTGCTTATTATAGGCGAAATGGAATCAGATGTACGTTCCAAATAGGTATAGTGCACTCACCAAGTAGAGGCGTCAAGCGATTGCGCACGCACGCGCATGCGGTCATGTAACCGACGCGAATGCGCGTGCGCCCGCTGCGGCCAGGACCGACAGCACTAGATGCGCGTTTCATGCACTGGCTTAGGCAGGTCCGCGGAAGGGGCGGGCGCGTACTGCGCATTGTGAGATGGTAGGCGCAAGGTGTTGGGGGAGGGGGCGGGTCGCTGGTCGTCCTTAGGGCGTTGTGCCGGGTTCGCCGGATCTTCGTCAATGTAAGTGATGTCTGATAGTGGCCGCGGAGGCCAGGGGCCGGTGTGGCTGCGCGAACTGCGTAAACTGTGTAAGCTGTGTAAACTATGTACCGAGCGGCGCTCTTCTAGGTCCTCCAGGGTAGACTTGAAAGCTCTGATTACTCGCAGCTGCAAACACAGGGAAGCAGGGTCTCATCAGGCGGGCCGGGAATTCATGCACGCGCTCGCACGCACAAGACGAACCGAACACTACTTATTCGGATCATCCTGACATCCATCATCATTCAAATAATTATTTTATACTTTGGATATGTTAATGAGCAGCTCATATCTATTTCAAAATCAATTTAAACTTTATTGCAATTATTTATTATGGACCGCAAATAAACATAAGAGACAAAACAATGGAAAATTAAATTGACGAATCGTGTGGCCAAAGAAGGCATCCTCATGGATAAAGTATAACTTCCGATATTGAACATTTTTTCGTAAGCGCTTTGAAAAGTTCGGATGGATTTGATGTTATACAGGGCTGAACCATACTGCTGGTCTGACTGAGATAAACCGTGTACTTTGCTTGGATTTGATTTTCATCTCAGATAGGTACGCCAGTTCATTATGGGGGCTGAGTAGTACCTGTTTAATACTTTGTTGTTTATTCGTTTCATTGAGGGTATCAGATGAGGGTCTCCTGTAGACCCTACTTTGTGCCCCTAAAAATTCTAACTCTCATTTCTTTATTTGTGCTTGAGACAGCAATACTGATCTTTGAAAACAGAACTGCTATCATGGGTAATTCGTATCGAAGGGTACACAGATTTTCATATGGCAATGGTAGGGCCTACTATACGATCTAGAAGAATATTTTGCCGACACTTTGCTGTTGTGATTCAGGTGATGTTTTCTCAGTTTTCTTATTTTCGGAAATTACATATTAAGCTTTTATTTCACTCATGCTTTGTTAAATAAATTTTGATTGATTGATTGAACCGCAAGATTCAGAAGATCCCTCTCCTCGTCTCGTTTTTGAATAACACACATCCCAACTCTTCGTCATTCTAGTCTCTATGCAGAAAGGCAAAATTGAGTCAAAAAACACAATCGGATGCAAGTGAAGGATTTCAGCTGGTCTTCCTCTAGGAACTCTCGTGCTACATAAATTTCCAAGTCAACGACTTATAACAGCAAATCTTACCCCGAGATCCTATAAGCCAGTAGAGTAACAAAATTATCATCTTGCCGGTTTGTGACTAGTGCTCTTCCTAATCTTGGATATTAGAATGCAACTCATAGATCTAACCTGTATAAAACCAAATCCATCGAAAGAGTTCGACTTTGCAAACACAATAATAATTTGTGAACTGTTTGTTTTTAGTTTCTTAATATAACATTTTAGCTTTTCTACAACAGCAGTATATTTTTATTTATAAAGTTCCTAATCACAATAAAGTTCAAATTGACAATAAATAAGCTGTACCTACATACAAACGTTTCAATGCATCTTATTGCTTTCAAAGCCATTTTACAAAAAAATTTATAATTTAGGAATTTACAACAATGGATGTTCTGAATGATGATCTATGTCAGCAGCTTTGATAGTCACACTCAATAGTACCAAATTTCTGGTCTCGTTAATGCTGCGTTCACTCTGCTATCAATCCCTTAGGAAACCTTGATGTTTTGACCCATGAAGTAAGCCGCAAAATAAAACTTCTACTAAAAATTGTTAGTAGTCTAGTCAAAAAACCAAGATTAAATATACAATCAATAATTCACTCGTTATTCACACTTTAGTAACAGGGGAATTAAACAAAAGTTGATATTATTTTTTCTGTCTCAAAAAAAGATTTTTACAGCGAAAATTACCTGTCCTTTTACTTTAAAGCTGGTGATAGTTTAAACCCCTTTTAAGCCTAACCCATAATCAATAAGTTAATATACTAAATATGTTGCTAAAATTTTTATGTGCGTTAAGACAACAAAAATAAAAAATTTCAGCAACATACATTAGATCCAACAACCTTAAACTGTTTTTAATTAGTAAAAAACCCACTTTTACAATATTTAATAATACAGCACTCTTATTCCCACAGCATTTTCATTGACAAGTAGGTTAGGATTTTTGAAATTTGCATAAATAATAAACAAAACAAAAAGTAATAAGAGTATATACAAAATAATGAAAGAAATTTAAAAAATGCCTAGCAGAACAAAACGTGATTATTTATTATTAACAAATGCTGCTTTTTCAAATGCAAGAGTGCAAAATAATGGAATAAAAGTGTGGTCATTTTTTTTTCCAATCAGTATAGGTGTGTTTTGGTTAGATATGTCCAATGGTTTATATTTACAGTTCCCATGATCCTCTAGTCTCAAAAAAAAATAAATAGAAAGAAACCAAAAGATAGTGAGAAAGAGACAGATTAAAGAAAGAGCATAGAGGGCACAGTAGGTACTCTAACATACACTAAATCCTTATAAACAAAGCATTATTATCCCGTTTGTAATTATGTCAGACATTCTATTAGTTTAAAGCAGCAGTTAGTTAGTTTAAAACATTTATACACTTACAATGCATCCATTCTTATGTACACACACTTTTCTTAGTCAATAAAGTTTCTTGGAATTGTTTTTAGTAAAGTTAGTACATGAAATTGTGAATGTTAGTTACTATTATTTGCAAACAAATGCTGAAAATTCCGAGAACCTATCTGACATCATTCACTAAAATTACAAACGTTAAAAATTGGCTGTGTTGTCAACAGCACGCTGGGTATCGGTTTTTGGTTATGTTGGTATAAAAGTGGTATAGAGATAGAATAATGATTTTGGTTGTAAAATGGTACCACTATAACTAAACGAGGTACAGGGTGAGGGGCAACAAGACACATCCAGGAGGGGTTTTTGGCTCTAAGAACATCTATAGAGGTGCAAAATAGTCAATCGCATTTCATCTAAAAAGAAGGCCTACTAAACTACATACTTGTTTTGTGTGGCTGAGTTTGCTTGAGGCACCCAACGGTTCCCTATACCTCAGTTTCTTTCATCGCTTCTGCTGGCTATTAAATGTAAAATCTTTATTACTTTTTCTTTAAATCCTATTGAAATGTGCTGGCGGATTTCACAAAATGGCTTGCCTCATATTAGAGAATATCAATTGGAATCCATATTAATGAAAAAATGAAAGGAAAGGTAGATATTTTATATAGACAAGGTGTTTCCATATATCATGTACAGACGGAAGGGGGTTGGTTTATTTTATGACTAAAATTTCTAATAAACATAGGTCCGCAAACGCTTTGTTACGGATCTACAGGGAGTTGAAAATTTAATGTATTAATATTGAAAATAAGCAAGAATATGGCAGCGGGACCTCTATTGTCGCCATTGTAGGTAGAAAAGGTTTAATAAATCACTGTAGTTTCATCTAGCTAATTACAGAGATTCGTTTTTGAATTTTTTTCTCGATAAGGGTCGGTGATTCGGAAAAACTACAAGGGAAGAAAAAGTTTCTAAATTAGGTAGAAAAATTATTTTGTTTTTAAGAAACTACCAGCGGCGCACCGCAAAAACGTTCAGGGGCAGAAAAGGCGACATGACCCCTGAAAAAACATCACCCTGTAGATTCTGGCAAACCTTTGACATGTGCAATCATTTAGCTCCTATTGCGTAACCTATATTGCAAATTTGAGCAAAATTCCTCTAAAATTGCTGGAGCTATAAAGAAAAAAGTGAAAAAATATTAAAATCTCAACACCCTGTAGATCGGTAAGGAATCGTTTGCGGACCTATGTTTATTATAAATTTTAGTCATAAAATAAACCAAAGCATCACCCCCTTCCGTTTGTACATGATATTAAGGAACACCCTGCACAGCAAATAATGAAGGTAGAGAGACATAATCTATGTATTTACATCAGGGTATTTAGGGGTTTTAAAAACAAGGATATTTTAATGAAGAAAACTGGCTAATTGAGTTTAAGACACTTGACTGCTGAAGTTAGTTTCCATCCTTATAATTCAGTTTTCTGAACAAACAAGTTTGGTATTTGTTGCTTCGCTGCCTAACTAATAAAATTACATTTTTAAGAGGATAATATGCATTACCTTAACTTGAAACTCCATATAGATTTTTCAGTATCACAGAATATATACACATTATGTATGTATTTTTTCAAGATCTATTATCTAAAATAAAATTCAAGCGGCGAAACGTTTTTTTTATTGAAAATCATGTCACAGTTTGTGTGATGCTTATCAGATATGCCAAAAGCTATTCTAAATTATTATAGACTCGTTTAAAAACCTTACCTGAAGTAAGTTAATTTCATAAGCAGCTAAATAAATAACTTCAATATAAAATTTGAGTTGAGACAGTATTTTTTGCATAAAATGGCACCAACTTACAAATGTGAAAGTTCCAAATCGAAGTTGTTGAATATCAAATCTCTAATATATTTTTGGCGGGAAAGTAGGTAATACTATTTATAGAAGTTATTTTATTGGAAATGCATATAATACTAACATTTGATTTGATGTGTGATACAAGCCTTGACGATAATTGTATCGAGCATAAACAAAAAATACTTTCAAACACAAATATATTCCTCATTAAAATAAAATCTTATTTTTTGAGAGTTTCATTGTTTTACGATGATTTGATAAATTTCAAAATTTGCCTGTAATCTGCAGTCATGTATATATTTTCTTTGAGAGTCCGAGAAGAGGCCATGTTATTTGAGTTTCAATACGATGTAGTATTCATTGACCTATCTATGAAAATATAATTTTATGCCAGATAATCCATTAAAAGTTAACCAAACTTGTTTTCAAACCCCTAAAAAAAAAGAATCATCTACCTTGCACTAATAATTTTGTTTTGATTCACAAAAGAAGGCGGGAAGTAAAGTGCCTTTGTCCTATAATAGAGGATGTGTTCGAATCATAGAACAGACAAGTGACATAAAACACGGACTGAAGAAGTGAGAAAGAGAAAATAATTAATCGTCAATCAGTTAGATGTATGTGAAATAAGTGCAATTTCAGACAACACAGCCATAACATTTTTTTTTCAATGATTAACCCTATAGTTTGCTCTGCTTCAAACTCTTTTATGATCTGCAACTCATACGGCCGTATCTGAGAGGCAGTAGTCAGTGGAAGCAGCAGCGTCAACAAAGGTTGTCAAAATGGACTGTTTTCTGATATGATCTTCCATGCACATGACTAAGACTACTTTCTATCAGCTCAAATAGCTCAGCCAGATGTTGATAGATTTTGTAACAACTACTTGGTGAATGGTGACTAACTAAATCTACACATGCAAAAATAATCAACCAAAAACCATTTTATGAACTCAATAATAGTCGTTGGTTAATTATAATGTGAGAAAAATCACAAGAAAAGCATATCAAACCAAACCGAGAGTTAGAGGAAAAAAGGTAAGCAACTGTATCAAAATTTAAAATATCACCAAACTCTCTTGGAACAAAAAACCAAAAATAAAAGGAGGCGGGAGTAGATCCACTGCTGGTCTACTAAAAAATAATTTGAAACAAATGTCTTTTTTAAAACTATGTTAAAATTGGTTTGCTGCACCTGCAAGGCATTAGAGTTAAATTCTATTTGACAAAAACATTGAAATAATTAACGCTACAAAACACATTGACAACTAGAAGCGAACAATTACTTTTTGGGCGGACAACATAGACAAATTTGTGTAGAGCAAACAAATTTAAGCTTATCCATTTTAGGCTAAAATTAGAAAGATAATTTACAAACGTTTGGAGTATCTGTTTTATACCTTCGGCGCCCTGTTATAATATGTAAGTACAGAGATTTTCCCAAATAAATGAAATATGTATGTGTTCATATCAATCTATATAACTTCTAGAATAAATTTAATTGCTTCCGTTTAGATAAAATCATTTACTTTCTATGATCATAAAAATTTTCGAAAAATTTACCAAGATTTACTTTGAGCTAGACCTGGCAATGATGGATAGACAGCCAAGACAAGTTTGGCTTTGGACGCCAACTGACAAATTTTGTTTATTCACCCAACCACTCGAAGGTCTGTAGTTTCCTAAAGACTGAGGCCGGTTTTTGAGGCAATCGCGTCACCGCCAGCTCTACGTAGCAAGAAATCTTTACCTAGCGAAACTTCTAAAATTGCCAAACTTGCTTGAGAATCTTATATTTTTCATTAAATGAATCTATTTTTTTAGACTGAATTTTACCTAATGAAAATTGACCCAATCATAAATTAATAACTAAAATTTTATTTAGTAACAGCTAAAGCTTGTGAAAAATAATTAAAACTAAATTTGAGTAGGTAACATAAAAAGCAGAAAACATAAAAGATCAAAGTGATTTTCTTTTTAAAAGTGTAAACAAAAAGTACAAAGAGCAAACAACAAGAAAAATGTTGCTTTTGTTTTTAATTCATATCAAGAAAACAAAAGGTGCTTCTTGAGACATAAAACAAACACTAATTGCAATTTTGTATTAAAAAAACACATAAATTGTTCGTTGACCACCCAAAATGAATGAATTAATTCTGCGACACGCACTGTCAACTGTTAAGCAGCAAACATGCTGGTCAGATAAGACAAAAGAGAAAAGTGGTATAGGAAATCAAGGATGAGACAGATGGGAGGACCGTTCTTATTAATTTTTAAAAAGTTTTGGTATAATTTTTACCTATGGAAACCCTATAAGTGAGCTCTGTTCCAAAAATCAGTCACACATTGCATATCCTTATACTTATATATGGGTCAGAGGCTTTCAATCAATACATTAATGCTCTGACTCATAATCCAATGGCCGACTATCCTCTAGTGAGAGGTAAGACGGTAATAATATTTGGTGTAAAATTTGCTCAATGAATATGACTACCAGAAATAATATAACTGGAACTTACCTGCGTTTGTAACCGAGTTAGACCTCGAATCCAAAGGATTTGACCTGCTCTTGGTTTCTTATCAGAGTCTGAATCAAACTTCTCTTCACCAATGGTGATAGCTTCAGTGTATTCTTCTGGATGTCCACGTCCCCATCTACATTTGTTGATAATGTTTACAATATCAAAATGTGAAAATAAATTTAAAAAAAGCTAAGAAGAGTAGATATAACTCCAGACAAATTCTATATGTGCACTACATAAAATACTCACGATAAAATCTTAGGAATCTTGCGGGTGGGGATAGTGGTAACCAGTTGGCCCCAAAGAAGTGTTCCAATTCCAAAGAAGAGGCACCAGCACCATTGTTCAAGAGTAAGAGCTTTTGTTGAAAAGGCCATTCCACCATATTGGATAATGACAACCTAAATTTAATAAGTTAGTGTATCAAGAGAAAGTATCGTTATTTTTCTTACTTGTGAAGCAGTAGTACCAACCCAAATTGTGTAGAAGATGGGGTTGGTGAAAATGCCTTCAAAAATATTCCTTTGTCCATGAATCTTCCTCGCGTTGAATTCATTGAACAAGGTCATCATGACGAATGTATTGAAAATTACGGTAAAGTGCTGAGTAGGACCTGATCCAATTTCTGCTCCTCTTCCTGATTCAATATCCAAGACCCTATCACCTATAATTAACCATAATTTTAACGATAATCCAATAAGCGTTTGAAACATATGGCTTACCAACAAACAGTAAAGAAAAGATCACAGTCAGCTGATAAACAGCTTGGCCCAAAATATTCTTCATCATTGTCCTAGAAATCAAAGGTTTTGTCCTTCCGTAAGGTTTTCTAAGCAACAAATCACTAGTTGGCAATTCAGTAGCCAACGCAAGAGACGCCAAGGTGTCCATAATCAAGTTTACCCACAACATTTGTACAGCCTTTTGAGATTAAAAAAACACACACATTAAGAAAATGTTGAAACGAAAAAATTCAATTTGTTACCTTGAGAGGACTGTCTTGGACAGCACAAGCACCAATAAAAGCAACAATAACAGCAACAACGTTGACAGTCAGTTGGAACTGCAAGAACTTAGCTATACTGTCATAGACATTTCTGCCCCACATGACGGCTTTGACAATACTGCTGAAGTTGTCATCAGTCAAAATAATATCGGAAGCTTCTTTGGCAACATCCGTACCAGCGATACCCTGAAACACGAATAAAATGGAAGATCCTGCTAAATCTGAGTTATCTTCAATAAATTTCACTGAGAACGCTAATTTATCGGTCAAGTTGTAATTAAACAGCGCAACTCATTTTGGATTATCAATCATAATCATTTATTTATGTCAATATCATAAAGCGATTTACACATGTCAAAACACGAAATATCAAAGTATAAATCAAACGCCAATAGACAGTCGCAATATCCTCCCTGCGCCTTGTTTGATAATCATGTAGATCCTGATGGGTTGTGAAAAGATGTCTGTTTTTTTTTTAACATAAAGGACACATTCCAGTATAAAAACACATGGAAGCGTCAAAATCTGTAGACTCTTGAAAGAAGCTCTGCAATCGTCCCAAAATCCCAGACCCCCCAAAACCCTAATAGCCTTGCTCTGTAGGCCAAACATGCGCTGGGCTCCTGATATGTGTCCCCAAAAAAGAACACCATATGCAAGATGGGAGTGAAAAACCAAAAAATATGCCGTTTTTAAAGTGGAAGAGACACATTTTTGAAAAGATAATGCAGCAGATACAGTTTTTTTTTTTAACTTAGTTGAAGTATTTTCAATATGAACATCGAACCGGAGTCGAGGATCCACGTACACGCCCAAAAACCTCACATTAGCAGCATCATGAAAGTTAAAATCTAAAAGGTCTCTCATAGAGAAAACCACCCTATTTGTCTTATCTCTGTCTTAACAATAGTGTATAAAACAACAAATGCATTTTTATGAGCAGCAGATCTGGTCAATTTGCTTCTATTTAATCAAATTTATATTTTATTGTGCGCTTGTCATAGTCACGGATTTCAAACTGCATATAAATAAACTAATGTAATCAAAAACAGCTCTGGATGCTATTAAAATGAAAATTTCAAATTTGTTCACTAAACTTACCATGGCAAAACCAACATCTGCTTTCTTTAAAGCGGGGCCATCGTTTGTACCGTCACCAGTTACAGCAACAACTTCTCTATTATCAGTAGCAGTACTGTCAATGATACCCTTGACCAAAATGTACTTGTCTGTGGGAGATGAGCGAGCAAGTACTCGTAATTTAGGCCAAACTTTGTCCAATAGATGTTGTTGAACCTCTCCAGCACTATCCCTAATCCTCATGTTAAATTCTTTGCCTTCGAGGATGAGGAAATCTTCATTTGGCTTCACAATTCCACATTTAGTAGCAATGGATCTTGCGGTATTGATATTATCACCAGTAACCATTCTGACTGTAATACCAGCTTTTTGACATCTTTTGATAGCATCAGGTACTTCCGGTCTGACAGGATCTTCAATACCGACAACGCAAAGGCAAGTCAAATTGCTCACGATGTTATCTTCCTCCTCCCAGTTGGGTTCATTATCAACATGAACTTGATTTATTTCAGCTTTGCCAGGAACAAATTCTTTGAAAGCTACACAGATTGTTCTGAGACCATCACACGCCATTGGTTCGATAACTTGCTTCAAGAGTCTTTCCTGCATGTCACGTGTGAATTTTTCCAAACGGCCGTCATGACCATATATAAAGGCACACCTGGAATTGATTTAAGTATAATAATATATACTTTTTGATGAATACGGGTTATTTACTTGTTTAAAATAATTTCAGAAGCACCCTTGGTGTATAACCTAAACCCACCCTCCTGGCGGGGAATGACAGTACTCATGGATTTCCTAACCGAATTAAATGTATATACTCTGGTAAATGATTCTTCCGGATAATCGTCACGGACATTTTGATAGTTTTTATTTAGATTTAACGAAAATCCTAACAAAGCGCATTCGGTTTTATTACCAACTTGCTTTGGCAGCTCAGTTGGATCTTCAGAAGGCTGTAAAGCACACAATAATTTAGTCATACAGCAATATTTGCATTTTAAAAACAGTTCTTACCATAACTCGGGAAGTATAAGCACAGTTGACAGCAATACCCTGTATAATATAATTGCCAACGTGCGCAGGGATATCGCTGAACTTCGGGATAGTCTTACACAATTGCTCACATATATACGATTGAACGACAGTCATTCTGTTCGTGGTCAAAGTACCGGTCTTATCGGAACAAATGGCAGTTGCGTTGCCCATAGTTTCACAGGCATCCAAATGTCTTACTAAATTGTTATCTTTCATCATTTTCTACAAAAAGAATATCAATATGAAAAGGGGGAAGCAAAAAGAAAGTTCCTCAAGGCACGTTTTTTTAAAGTGTTACAACAAGCAAAAATATTTATTATTTAGAGTTCATAGCACAGCGCTAACAGTATTTATTTCAGTTAGTAGGTGAATCAAAGAGTTTCTCGTATAATACATTAATAACATTTTTACTATATCGGGAAAATCTTCACTGATACAGAGGTTTTTACATTATTGTACCAAAAAGGCAAACTGTGTAAGAGTTTAGTGGAAACTGCAGCAGCTGCATTCGATTTTTTTCTGGTCTGAATTGGATAATTCATTCACCTTTATTGCAATGTAAAAGTTACCTGACATTATAAATTGTAATTCAACCCCAATTATTTTAAAAAAACATATAGATATGATGCAAATTAATCTGTAATGAAAATGAATGGTGTATAAAAATTCTGTTAAGGGAATAAAATGGCCATTGTTCAATATTTTTTCAACTAACCTTAACACTATAAGCTAGAGAAAGGGTTACAGCCAATGGTAGACCTTCAGGCACAGCAACAACAAGAACAGTAACACCAATGATCAAATGGCGCACTAGCTGGTTAGCATAGGTGTTCTTCCATGGTAGTTGGTCGATGACAAAGGTCTTGACACAGAACTGAATAATCAAGATAACCACAGTAAGAACGGCTATGGTGGAGCCAGCGTAACCGATCTGGATTGCCAGTTTGGTCAATTTGGCTTGCAATACAGACTTCTCCTTCTTATGACTGGTTTCAGGTGGTGGTGCACTGTTCACGTGGTTCTCTTTACCGTCTTGGTCTGTCGCGTTGTCGAGCTTGTTTGCTACTGGTGCAGGAGAGTTCATGTGACTATTTCCAGTTACATTTTCTTCGTCGCCTAATGTAGGAAAAGTTGTCAGTTATGTTATGCATAAGAAATCGTCAAATGTCACAATTCAAATAAACTGCAATGTTATGCAGAAGATTTTTATTTAATTTTTTTTTTAGATTTAACTGCATATTTAGGTATTTAGTTTCAAGAAAAATTAATAATGTATAAGGAGAAACGAATTTGTAATTCAATCAAAAAGTTTACAAGGCTATAATAATAAAATAGTAATAATGTTTGCCACAAAATTTTATGATTTATATACCAACCACCCTATTACCGTTTTGGCAATATAGGAACTCATAAAAGTGCCCCACAAAAATAAAAGTTGCTTCAGTATTAGATAAACTCTGATTTTGTGAAGTTTAAATGGAAATGCCATTATACTTAAATACCCAAATATGAAATCTCAACAGTGACATTCTGACAAAATTGTGTACTTACTTATTAGTAAGTATAACATTAATTAAAAATAAACATTTAACATACAATGATGTTTTTACTTTAAAACTCGTTATTCGCATGCAGGTAAACATATTAGTGTGTAATTAATTTCATCAGAATAACTAAGAGAATTTTTAATAAAATTATTATTTTATTTTATAATAATATAATAGTAATAAAAAAAATTATTCACCTGTCAAACTTTTCTTCTTCCGCTGCTTTTTAGCTTCTGTACAAAAACACATGCAAAAGGAGAACATTAGCAATCTCAAAAACACTCCCAAAGTCCTGACATGAGTAAAATATAAAAAAATATAAAATGGGGTTTTCTTACAGCATATGGCCAAACTAATTTCTTTTGACACTCTGGTGACAATCTTCTTTAACTAAAGCGATCAGGGCTGGAACTCTGTAACGGATAAGGATCGTTATCCCTATCGCTATGGCACTTGCTGTCTTCTTCTTTCTTGTCGAAATCAATAGAGAGGAGACGTCAATAAAGATGGAGAAAATATCTCTATTCGTTACAGAGTTCCAGCCCAGGCTTCCAATAGGATTTGATAGAATCTCAGGAAAATATTTTTAATCTTTCAAACTAGCAACAAGTTAATTTACCAGGTGAGCAGACTGGAACCATACAAGAGACACAACATATTGTTAAGCACAAGAAACCTATTGCCAATAATTTTTCATCATAATGCATGGAATACACTTGGATTTACTGATAGAAGTACTAAAAAGTATGATGACGCACCTCAGACCAAGTCGATTAAAGTTCTGTTGCCCTGACTTGTTATTGCTTATGCTCAATGAAGTGAAAGTTAAAAAATATCTGTTCTTTAACATTTGTCAAAATTAACATAGATTTGTACTAGGACTGTGATGATTAAAATTAATTTGAACTAAATCAATCTCAATGGTGGGTATGTCTATTAAAAACCCAGACTCATAATTGAATTTTTGTGAATTAGAAACATCTAAAAATATATGAATCATGAGGTTTATTAGAGAGAGAAATAGGAGCCAACAAATTAGAAAACACCATTGGTGAAATGATTACATAAAAACTGTGAGAAAAAAAAAATTATAGCTATCCATGTTGTCTAAAAAAAAGTTCCAACCCATTGGCCGGCATTTTATTCTAGACAAAAATTTAAATATCCCAAATTTTTAGGAAGACGTTTGCACCATACGCTGTAAGTGGCTATATGCCAAGACTATATATAAAAATCAAATAGTAAAAATAGACATACATGTATATTTATTGCAATTATAACTGATAGTCACTATTAAAAGATTTAAATTGAAATTTTGTTTGTTTTTGAAGAATTTGTTTGTGTTTGTAAGATTATGGGGCTGCTTTAAAACATAGAAACTAGCTTTTGAATCTGAATAATACCTATTTTTTAGAAACATTATCTTAAATATTATGTTAAATATACATATATGAATTAACAAGAGGGGGTTCGGGGGGTTGGGGGGACTATAGTAGAACTTACGAGGAAAACCGTCTAGTAGTTATTTCTTACTATACAATGCAATAAGGCAAGCAACTATTGTGTTGCTGTTAAGCTTTCACAGCCTTTGTTGGATTCTTGAAACAACAAATTTGAAATTTATAAGTCTTCCTCATAAGTCAGAGACATTCTATTTCATAATGTTACAGACATTTAAAAATGTGCAACTAACAATAAGACACTTAAATTGTCGTTTAATGCTTCAACTGTAAGAGCTCTCACGAAAGGGACAGCAAAAGTATATTCCTTCTAGTTTAATCTATTTCTTCTCTATTCTATCTCGGTAAATTCTGACAAAGAATTAAGTACCTAGCTATTATTTTCTTGGAAAGAATATTTGAAATTGCACCAACTTTTCAGGAACATTAGTTAAATTTGATGTTGGCGACTACATTTTAGATGTCAGATTTTATCAATCAGAGTTAGTTTTGGGATTTTTAAGTTTAGAATATAGAAAAAATAAAATTTTATATGACTAAATTTTTTGTGAAATATTTAATTTAGAAAATAAAGTGTACCGACATCTAATTGATTTAGTATAGATAAAAATATCCGGTCTTCAAAAAAAAAAAAACAATCAAAGATTGCTTTGATTACAAAAACGTACGTCGCATTATTGTTTCTTTATTGGTCAGGATTTTTGACATGACATTTTGAATTTTGACATAAAAGTTCATTGACAAAATTAAAGAAAAATATTGCTAAGACATACGTTTAAAAAACCATAGCAATCTTTAATTTGTTTTTTTATTGAAGACCCGATATCTTCCCTGTATGGCGAGAAGCTCTTACAGATGGGAAAGAGTACTGGGGGTACGATTCAAACATGACGACATGCGCATGGAATGATAAAAAACATACCCTTTTTCATCTTCTTAATTTCCTGTTCTTGTTGGTCAACGGCGGCACCAAGAAGAGTAAAGATGATGCCAGCTTGCGAGTTCACACCAACAGCTGTAACCAATATCTTACCGGACCCTTCCATGACATGAGTGCCTGAAAGAACCATTGGATCGAAGTGTTCTCCTTTTTTGACATGGTCCGATTCACCGGTCAGAGATGATTCATCCACCTTAAGAATTATTTTTTAATCATGTGGACTAGTAAATGTTTGAGGAAAATATACCTTTAGATCATTGGACTGGATAAGAATACCATCAGCTGGTAAAAGATCACCATATTTAATTTGGCAAATATCCCCCACAACTATGTCACTAACAGAGATTTGCTTAACTTCGGCTGCTCGGATGACAGCAAACTTGTGTTCACCTTCTATTCGATTCTGTAATCCGCGGAACTGTCTTTCTTTAGTATAATCGTTAAACGCTGTCACTAACACTACAACTATAACTGAAATTAAAATGGCGAGACCTTCAATCCACCCGTGGCTAGTTTCATCATCATTAAATCCACTTTCTGAAAAAAAAAATGTTTGTTGAATTTTTTCCTGTACCTAATGTGTAATTTATCATCAAATCTTTTCACCATGGGCAAAAGACAGAGTTGCAAAATAGGTACACTTTTTTAAATTTTCTAGATTGTGACTTTTTTCGATTAGGGTGAGTAGTAAATTACGCATCTCTATCTTAGTATTCAAATTGGATGCCATATTTTTTTTTTAGAAAAATATAAAAATATCAATAAATGTGAGCAAATCTCTTGTGAGTCTAAAATCAAAAGCTTCCAGAAAGATTTTTCATAGTGATTTATGGATTTGATTAGAACAGTTTAAATAATTATATAATAAGTTGACCAATATAATGAACATCCTGGCAAAAAAAAAAATTCTATTAGGAAACTAAATGTACACTTGGCCAATCATAAAACTGGCACATGATTTTCCCATTGTGTTGTATTGTGTAAATCGAGATGAAAATCGACCTTTTTTATCACTTCAAAAATGACAAAAAGAGTCAAGTCAGTGTCATCTTTAAATCAAACAAAATGCCGCCGCAAATACATTCGATATTCGACATTGACAAAAACTGTCTATCTTGTTTTTTCAGAAGAAACTTTCTGTTATTTAAGCCAGACTCACATCAGACAAATTTAGAGAATATATATTGCCTGTACCAGTTTTATGATTGACCAAGTGTAGGTACAAATAAACTCCCAAAATTGAGAGAAATCCTGTCAAGTGAAATTTCCTCGGAAAAAATGTACATTTTCTTCTTCTTCAAAAAAAAATACTTTGGAATCGTTGTTGATGACCCGCAAAAAGTAAGGGCGATTTTGAATCACACCCCTCTGCTAAAACCGCCTCATGCAAATTGGGGAAAGGTAAAGATGTGCAACCATCACATACCACACAGCTAAAATTAAAAATAGCAACATTCCAGTTAGATGGTATCCAAAGATATAGAATAAGAGATCTATTAGTTGAGTTGGATAATCACAAATACTGTGATCACAATGTAATATTTTATATAAATTCTTCCACGAGATACAAAAAACATCTGGAATCCCTCATAAACAAGAAGTTCAGAAAAAAATCACTAAATTTTGATTAAGACTATGCCTTTATGATATAAATTTCTTATCAGTATTATTAACAAGGTAACCCTGATAAGCACCATTTATTTCTAAAAATATATTTTACTATAAAGATTAATTTTACAACAACTTTGATGTACTCAAGTTATAGCACAGGCACCATCAAATATTGAATTAAACACATTTTCAATCAATTAAATGAACTTACCCTCTTCTTCTGCAGATGGTTGATAGAATGAAAGACCCAAAGAAACTATTGCAGCTACTTCTAAAATAATTAATGTTATGTCTTGTAAAGCTTCCCAAACTAACTGTAAAAACGTTTTTGGAGGCTTTGGGGGTATCGAATTGGAACCAAATGTTTCCTTTCTATGTTCTAAATCTACTTGTGACCCACTAAGACCTGAAATAGAGCATTATTATTACTTGTTCTTTAATAAGATAGAAAATGTACATACCTTCACTTGGGGATGTATAAAGTTTCTTACATATTTCTTGTACACCACCTAGATCTTGTACTTTCTGGACTCCTTCCCGACCTCGATGTTCCATGAGGTCGCGGAGTTGCTTCAGGGATATTCCATATTGTGCGGGACGGCCGTCTATCGTAGCCATTTCTTACTGCAGTTCTGCAACAAATAAAAACATTTTGGATAAGCAAATAACTCGGCAAAGAACAACGTAAAAAATACGACTCAAACAAATCAAGGTACAAGGAAGATTGCTTACCACAGTAATAAAAAAGGTGGCTTTATAAGAGCAGAAACCTTTTATACTTAATATTAAGTGCATGAATTATTATGTAGTAACTGATTAAGACTGAAAACATATTTTTATCTGGGCCATAATCATTTTGAAATAATATTAATTGGCAGAAAGATAGGTTTATCTATTGACGTCTTGTGCAATTCTCAGGTATCCTATTAACGTAATCAACCCCCCATTTATGACATCAGTGGACGTCATACGGCTATTAAAAAATCTCAAAATTGTCGCAAGAGCTTAACTGAGATAGACACTTGAATCAATAAACATTTAAGTATGATAATAATAATTACAAAATTTTATAAAATGAGATAGAAATTAATTTTCGACGATAGTTATCTGAGTTTCCAAATTAACTTCTTGGAACTATTTATTCTATTATGGTGATTTTAGCATGGGTGATTAATATAATCAATTGTCAACATAATAATAAAATCGTAATAACAAAAACAATCATGAATGTTCATGATTCAACATCTCACAAACAATTAAGGCTGGATTTTAGACATGTATGTACCTACATAATTCAATTGTAAATACTGGAATAAACATAAATATGATTCTAATTTTGAAACCTAGAAAACCAAATATTGTACTTATATTTTTCAGCTCAAACTCTTGATATAGGTATTTAAAATTTTCAAGATGTTTAGAAGACATTACTTATATGTACTAACAAAAATCATGCGATTTGGTGAAAATATATCCAAAAATTTATTCAAAATCAGAGATTATCCTAGTTTGAATTAGTTTTTTTAAGGTTAGAGCAAGAAACCTCCTATTTTATAGGAACTTGATAAGACCAAGGGCTTCTGGTAGGTACCTAATATTTCACTTGGTCCAGACCCCAGTTTGAACTATTTTTTTTATGCAATAGTTTTCAATTTGTCTAAAATAGCCTACCATAAAGTCTAACTCATATGCCAGTTTTTCTACTAATATAAATCCAAGTAGGTATAATTTGCACTTATAAAACTTTATGATTTGTAAATTCAAGCATTAAAATAGTACTATTTGCTAATCCTTTGACAGTGATAGTTATTTATATTAGAGTTTATATTCTTCAATAATCAGCATAAGATTTAAATCCTCAAGTTGGAATTATGTAATGCAATAAACCTTGTTTTTTTTATGCTTACATAATATTTACTCATTTTGATTTTATCCTATTTGGATAATCTCTAATTACTTATTTTGAGTTTAAATTGATGCATTGTGGTGATTTAAATTCAAATTCAAAAATAATTTATTTGCCATTCAGAGACAATTACATCGCTGGAAAAAAAAACATTTAAAAATTATGCAAATATAATAAATAATATTGACACTCGGGCAAAATGGACCACCCCGCGATTTTTCAGTAACCGATGCTCTCGGGTTTCTAACAAAAGAAGCCCGAGAGTGGGACAGACCTATTAACCTAATATAACCTAAAATAATTCCGGTTTGAACAAAGGGTATTAGAAAAGAAAAACTAAGGTAAAGTAAATAGGATCAAATAAAATAAAATAAAATGAAAATAATAAAACTAATGTATTACATAAGCGATACCCTCTGGGTAAAATGTTCTCTACCAATTTGTAATTGTAATTGTAAACATATTGATCGAATAAAGAAGATGTGTCAGAGGGTGGGATTTGCACGAGTGCGGAAAAAAAAACTTTCCAATAACTTCATTACTACTTATCTATAACAAAAATGAAATAGCCTTTGAAATTTTCCAATGTCTCTCTATAAACATAACATATTAAGGAAAAGGCCTTCTCTTATTTTTTATTTTGCGGACTCCTCTTCTGAATTTGGCAATTTTCACAGAGTAAAGTGGCAGTATTGAACACGGTAAGTATCTTTGGCTTTTGTGTGACAAATACGTATGTCAAAGTATAATAATAGTAACATAACAGCAGTGTTGTTCCTTTCTAACTGGATTTTCAGGAACTGACATTCAACTGTCATTTAACGACTGGGTAATCAAAAGTACAAAACTCGGTACAAACGGTATACACCCTTGATTCTTGATTGGTTACAAAAGGCAAAAGGAGATAACAAAGTGTTGTGAATGTTGGTGGTACCCTCAACTTTTTCATGGGTTCTTGCCTTTTTGGAAAGAGTTCTGTAGTTCTCATAAAATTGCAATAATAGCTCTGCAGTACAGTGGATGAAGAGATATCAGAACTCCGCTCAAGTTAAGTACCTACACCTATTTTTGTTTTTGAAAAAAATTCAACTTCAACTGCAGAACTATTACTGCACTCCTCAGAGAACTATAGAACACTGTCGAAAAAGGCAAGAAGTCATGAAAAAGTTGAAGGTGTGCAAACAAATCAGAAGAAAACATTCTCAAATCCACTTATGTTATGGTTTTGTGTCTGTAAACATATAAACCAACCCTTTTGTTTATACCTAAATAAGTAAATTTCACAGACTTGTTTCAATGATGCCAAACAAAAATTCTGCAAAAAAAAATAGTGTACTTTGCAGATCTTTATAAAATGAGCTTCAATATAGTATATAGTGAACTCTATGGCGCTAATTGGAATTTTGTTAATTAGCAGATAAAATACCTCAGGTTTGAACGTTTTAATTTGTTTTTTTTTCCTGCTTTCTGCTCCTTTTAATAAAACCAAAAAAAAAAGGCAGAAATTCAATGGAAACTAAGGAAAACAGCTCAACACTAAAATATCAGCTTGTTTAGTAGTATTGAATAAAAGTATTCAAACAGGGAATAAAATAATAATAACGATTTATTTTGGTTGGAATCGAAACCTTGAGATGAAAGTTACTCACTCGATGGGAGTGGTTTCATTTACTTACTGCAATAAATTAAAGGCATTGAAAAATAATATTCTTAAAAATAAATAGCTCATGTAGAAAGTGCAGACATGGTTAATAATATATTAATATATGCAACAAAGGCATCTTTGGTGTGCGAAAGTTTCTCTTTGCCTCACTCAGCCAAACATATGACCTGGAAACCCCGAAGACGAATGACAAGCCTTGAATTATTTACTAAAAACTAATAAAATACTAAAGCCATACCCGTAAATATAATGTTCAATTGAAAATATCCATATATAAAGATAGTAGGTAAAACACCACAAAATACAAAGTTGAAGCAGCACAATCACGCTCTCTGAGATCACTTTTGTAATGATAAACAAAAAACTTAGGTTATGTCGGATACCGTTATTTTTTTGACGGCGTACGATTTAACACGAAGTATGTAACAAAATACTGTTGGTACTAGTGTATCTTCCGCCGCGAAATCGACGGAACGGTGGCGGCGTCCAATCGTAGTCTCCTACCAACAGTAAACGCCGGCGCCGGAGCCGAACTAATCGCGAGTATTCTGCGCCTATAAAATCGTGTGAAGCTCGGTTGGGGACCCAAGTAGTCCGGGAGGCAGCGTTGCAAAGGACGAAATTAATTTCATCCCTGGCGATTTCTATTTGAAATGATTTTTTTTTTCATCTTCAAGCGGTATATTATTTGAATTTTTTTGTCGTCAACACTTGACACACATCCATTATGTACCTAGGAGGACTTGGAAAAGATTTTTATGTATGGGGTAATTTGTTCGTTTTTTCTCGCTAGAGGTAGCAGCGTCGCTGATCCGATTAACCCGATCACGGCTGTTTGTTTTTCATCTTTCTTCAATGGACACGATTGGGAAAAGACAAATTACATCAGATGGTGATCGGGTTAATCAGATCAGCGTTTTCGTAAAGGCCTATCGTAAATAAATTTGCGTTCTCTCCCCAGAGGCCTTATTCTTGACTTTCTCTCGAGAGAAAATTTGACTGTGTTGACAATTAAACAGTGCATTAACTGTTAACAATGTCAAATTTTCTACCTAGATAAAGTCAAGAATATGCCTCCTGGGGCGCGTTCAGATTGAAGAGTCTGGGCGACGTCCAGTGCAGAGCGTACCCGATAGAGAGTGCACTCCGAGTGTGCCTGGCGATTCGCCCAATCTGAACGGCCAAAACGCATTCTCTCCTCATAACATCACTATTTATGGGATGCTTTGATTTTGATTTTGTTGCCTTTTCAAAATTCACTGTGTTCGTGATTCTAGCATTTTTGTAAAATAAGAAAAAAGAAAATTCAAAGATAATCAACAATTTTATTTTATTTTGATTTTTTTGGTAGAACTTATCACATATAAAATAATACCTCTTAACCCCTAATTCTTATTTTAATTTATCTCCTATTTTATTTTATTTGTTGGATAAACTCGCCATAACTCCCAACAATAATATTTACAATATTTGCCTTTATTATTGGTTAGAACATAAACATAACACAAACGCGCATGCGGGGCAAATTTTATCTTACTATTTTATGGGATGCAAAAGTGTGCGTCGGGGTGTCGTCAGGTAAAAATCTACTGACAATCTGAACGGCTGGGTAAATTTTACCCAAAGCAATCTGAACGGTCAGAGCGCGCTCGGGCGACAACCGACGTTCAATCTGAACGCAGCCCAGATGGCAGCTTCGACGGACATGTTCGGGAGTTAGCTCCAAAAGCCTAATTTGCACTAATTTGTTTCTTTTACATTTTTTAAATCAATATTATGGAGGAAATTATTGCAGAAATGAATATGAATAAATAAAGTCGGATATTCAACTTGATCCGCCTACTCGTTTACACGAGCGTCTGTGTTCCGAGCAGTGGAATGTGTTTCGAGTGATCTAATACTGAGCTGACAATCGGAGTGAACAAATTTGACATACGTCGTAAATAAAATTCAATATGGCGTCCCAGGGCAAGTTACAATAACAAACAACGTTTTTACGCTTATTCTGATTTGTTCATTTAAAGACTGGTGTGTGTTTGAAAGAGAAAGTTTTTGTTTTATAG